TTCTCTAGTGTTGGGGGTGGGGGTGGGGGTGGGTGGAGGAGGAAGAAGATGATGATGAGGGGACGGTGGTGTTGTGGAGGAGGGTTAGGATGTTGGTGGTTTTTGTGAGGGTGTGGAGGGTTGTTGAGAGGGTTGTTAGGAGGGTGTGGGCTGGGTTTTTTTGTTAGTGTTTTTTATTCTTTGGTTTTTTGATTTTTGGTTTTGGTTTTTGGTTTTGATTTTGGTTTTGGTTTTGATGTTTTGGTGGATGTGTGATATAGAGTAAGGTGCAACAGGTTCATTACTTACCCTCAGATTTCTCTCGACGTGCTAGTAAGTCGATGATTAATGGTGTCAAGGTATGAATGATCAGGATTTGAATCCCTTCTTCTTCGCCCGGCTTTTCGCTTTCGTTTCCTGTGGAGAAGCTCTGAGATGGAACATCCTCTTTCTTTTTCTCTTTCTCCTCCACCTCCTCAGCATCCCCCAAGGGAGCAGAAGGAGAAGTCAAACTCGAACCCCAATCCGGACTCGACTGTCCCGGCGCAGGCGGAGTGGGCGTCAGAGGCGTGGGGGGTGGATCATTGATCTCTCGTAGGACTTCCCAAAGACCTGCGATATCAAAGACGCGCGAGACGGAAATGCGTTCTAAGGCCCGTTGAACGTGGGTGTGGATCTCTTGCTCGGTTGCGGGACTGGTCTCAGATGGGGATTGCAAGGAGAGGTGTGAGGAGATTCTGGCGTGGAGGACTTGGGCGAGCAGTGGGAGTGGGAAGGAGCCGGTTGTGTCGATTATTTGGGCGATTGGCGGGTGTTGTTTGGGGCTGGGGAGGTGGGGAATGAGGAGTGAGGCGAGGAGGTTGAGGGATAGCTAGGGGTTTGTTAGATTTGTTTTCTTGATGGAGGAGAGGTGATGTGGGGATATGGATTAAGTAAGGAGAGAATTGGTAGTGAAGCTTGAGATGAAGAATAAGGCAAGATGAGAGAATACACCAAATCCCCCCCAAAAAACACATAACAAAAAGGGAAGACATAAAAAGCCAACTCATCTTCCCCTAAGAAAAAAAACCCAACATTCAAGAATAAGGATAAGAATAAAGATAAAATCAAAAATCAAAAATCAAAAAACCCACCAAAACCCCCTCCCTCCCCTCCGCACTAAGCCCAACAACAGTCCCCCTCCCCACCCCCCGTCCCCTCTCAACGCTCTCCCCGCCGTCAAAAAGCGTATCCAAGACCTCACACCCGGTACTCACTCTCTGTCTCTCTTGGTTTGGGCCCCCGAAGCGCTGGTGGTGCTGGAGCTCCAGAGTGAGGAGGAGGTCTGCGGTGAAGGGTTTGGCGGGTTCCGGGGGTGCGGTGGGGATGATGGGTGAGTCGTTGAGGTGGAACATTTTTGTGTTTTGTTTTGGGGGTTGAGGGTTGGAAGGGAGATGGATGAGGTGCCTTATGAGGGAGCTTGAGAGGATGAGATTTAGTGGGATTAGTTAGGTGAGGTGAGGTGTGGACATGGTCGATGCATGTGGCGACGCGACCTTTGGTGCCTTGACTGACTAGTACTCTGAAAATGAATGGTCTTGATGTTATGACGGTTTTCGCACCATGAACCAGCTTGAGTTTTCACAAAGTTCGATCGTCGGGCTTTATGAGATACTTGAATAGGAATATGAGATGGAGATACTCGAGTAGAGGAGTGGATGGGGAATAAGGAGAGAGAATATTTGTTTTGGTCTTGAAGGGGTTGGAGGGGATTATCTACCTAGCTGAGATAGGAAGACATGAGAGAGGAAAGGCGGCAGGAAGTCGAGGTAATGGATTGAAGATGATCCAAATTCTACTCACCTCACTCACTCACACACTCTCTCACTTACTCAGTTACTCTCTCACTCACTCTCACTTTCTCACTCACTCTCACCCACTCTCACCCACTCTCTCTTACACACTCTCTCCCAAAAACACAAAACACAAGCACAAAACATATTCTTTTCAATTCATCCATTCCATTCCATTCCATACCATCCATCCATCCATCCAATTATTATCTTTCCCCTTCTTCCCTTCCTACCCTACCCTCCCTTCCCTTCCCTTCCTTCCCTTCCCTCCCAAGAGTCCATCCACCAATCCATCATCCATCCCAATTCATCATCACATCAACACCGCCACAGTCAAATTTAAATTCAAATTCCTCCAGTCCATCCATTGAGTGACTTCCCCCCTGCTCCCCTCACAAATCAACTCATCCCCAATATCCAGAGTAAACCAACCATACCACCAGTCCGCTCTTTGAAGAATCCCCTTTACCAAATCTGTCCTTCTGTCCTTCTCGAAAAAGTAGAAACAAATGAAAAGCTCCGTCTTTCCTCTTCCACAACACTGGTATCCATCCTCAAAAACCACACTGATGCACGATACGCTCGCTATCTTTCCTTCATCATCCGTCTGTACTGTCCCCCCGTCCCCAAAATAAAAAACTATGAAAAAAGAAATTCGTTTCTTTTTTATATTTGTAAAAAGAAAGAGAAAACTAAATCGCCTGCAAAGGAAAAAAACCGCAGAAAAGGTCATGTACTCCCCGTCTAGAAGAAATGAGATCACTTAAATCTTGAAGTGCAACGTCCCATCACCTCTCCCTGACAGACCAACTCGGCGTTGAATTCCGATCCGTCCAGGGTGAGGTAGATGTCAAAGTAAACTCGGTAAAAGGTACCTTGTGGAGTATCCATTCGCTCAAAGTCCTTTTCGAGATTTTTCCGCGACAGATCAGAGGTGAGAGTGACGACTTCTTTGACACCTGTAACATTGATTAGCTCAAGCTTTATTTATGTATCAGAGGATATACTTACGTGGATCCTTGGTATATTCTGGGCACACATCATCATCACATGCATACAAGATATCCTCGTACATCAGAGTGGCACCTGGAGCAACTTGACGGAAAAATGAAACCTTGACAGGCTCTCCAATCTTGACTCTTTGACCCTTTTGAACGAAAATTTGTCTGGTAAACTTGCATCGATCCTTTCCATCCAATGAGGGAACACGGTATGCTTCGGGGTGGTGACCTTCCTTGAAAGGTTGAAGTGTTGCCATGAGGTAATGTCTACGAGCCACACGGGATGTGACGACTCGCTCAGTAATACCTGCGGTAACCGCACCCTTGACAATAGCCGCTACAGAATCCATGGGTCTGACAACCTTGGACTGGAATTGAGGTGGTACGTGAAGTTTAATTTGTTGGAACAGATATTCCGAGGCACCGAACCCACCAACAACCAGGACGTTCTGTAATGTTCGGTTTTGTGCTTGGATGGCGATTATCTGGTTTCGCACTAATTCCAGAATGCGGTTGACGACTGGCTCGAAACACTGTAGAATTTCCTCGTTGGTGAATGTCATATACCCTTCTTCGATACCAGCTTCAGGGAATTCGGCTTCAATACCAACGTCCACAGCCCATTTTTGGTTGTTGTTTCGGAAATCTGCCTTGATTCTGTTCTCAAAATCCATGATACATTTCGCATAAACTCTTCCAGCAGTCTTGGATCCATCTGGCAGTTTCATTTTGCGGATTTTCGTTCTCAGAATGTTGCTAAAGTTTCTGTTCAGGGCAGTTGATCCGCAAGAATCCCCAGAACCTGCTGTGCATTCAGACACCGTGAATGGAGACTCTTCCTCGACCTCGTAAGCGATCAAATCGACCGTTCCACCACCGCAATCCACAATCAATACTGCATCGTGTACCTTGAGGTTCAAAAGACCAGCCTTCGAACAGAAGAGAGCGGCAGCTTCTGGTTCCGTAATCAGCGTTAATCGATTATCATTTTCGTCGCGGAGGAATCCAGCTTGAATCGCTGCGGCACGGGTGGCGGCCTTTCCAGCATCATTCCAAATGGCTGGAACAGTCAGATAATACCGAATATTCCGCTCCTCTCGGTTGAAAACCTCTCCCAGCGTCTTTTGCAGTTGATTTCGCATGGCTTGTCGAAGCTTGAATAGATAGTCTGCTGCAACATCGATTTCTGATTTTCCCGGAGGTAGAGGGGGGAGATTAATGGGATCGATATAGGTGTTACCAGAAAGCATCAGCTGCAACTTGAACCACTCAACCTTTTGCACACCTGGCTTGGGATAGCCAGTTGGCGCAAGAGCATCAGCAATATCAGGCCCCCAGCCGACCACCTTTTGATATTGATCATAGTATAAAACAGTAGGAATCTGAAAAGATTAGCTAACTGTCAGAAATGGGATCCAGGCAACCCCGCCCACCTTTTGTTTTGTGTAAGAACCGGCGCCAGGCCACTCTGTGATGATGTCTTCTTTTGCCTCTGTGTTCGTAGCAAAAGCAAAGGCTACACCAGAAAAGGTTGTTCCCTGGACGGGTTAGAATTGACTCCATTGTGGGGACATGTTATGCTTACAAAATCAATACCGACAATCAGTTGCGCTTTACTCCTGCCAGCACCCTCGACTTCGACAGCGCCTCTGTTGGCATATTGAGCAGCCGCCATGCTGTTGTTCACTTGGGGAGGGGCACCGTATTGCGGCGGCGCCCCGTACTGTTGTCCAGCTGAAGGTGGAGGACCCATTTGTTGTTGAGGGTGTCCAGGAGGATAACCAGATGATGCAGTATTGATCGGAGGAGGACCGCCCATCATCTGGGTCGGCGGTGTGCGTGGTTGTCCGTTATTTAAAGGACTCTGAGTGCGGCCCACGCCAGCAGGAGCGGGTGCGTAGTTATTGGTATAGCTCGGTGGGCGTCCACCAACGCCGGGGTGATTCATGGGAAGACTGGTCGTCGAGGAAGCCGGCGAGGCTGTTGAGGGGATGGGTCGGCCAGAGAGAGGTGCAGGGGGGGTGGGGTTTTGTGTNGTCGTCGAGGAAGCCGGCGAGGCTGTTGAGGGGATGGGTCGGCCAGAGAGAGGTGCAGGGGGGGTGGGGTTTTGTGTGATAGTGGGCGCGGGAGGGTTGGCGCTTGATTTCCGTTTGGAACCAAATCCAAGGCTTTTGAAGCGGGAGTTCAGAGTACTCATAAGGTCCAAGAAGAAGGGGAAGGCAGGAGAAGAGAGGGGGGATGGACTCTTAATGAAAGAGGTTCGGTGCGGTGCGGTGCGCCGCGCAACGAAGAATCGGCGGGAGGAAATCCTGGGCGGGATGGGGCACTGAAGAGGGTGAGCGTGGATGGGTAGATGGATGGGTGGAGAGATGTGGTGTGGGCAGAGGCGGGAGGTGGCGCTCTAGTGGGTACTGGTACTGGTAATCGAGTACAGTGTTTACGGAGTTGGGGAGTAGGGGCGCAGANATGTGGTGTGGGCAGAGGCGGGAGGTGGCGCTCTAGTGGGTACTGGTACTGGTAATCGAGTACAGTGTTTACGGAGTTGGGGAGTAGGGGCGCAGAGGGGTGATGGAGCTAAGTATTTGGTGGGTGAAGGACTTGGCTGGGGTGAGTACTTCGTACAGTTACTGTGTTGATTTTGGTAGGTACTGATTTGGCTGCTGGTGCTGCACTGCTGATACTTAGTACTGGCTTTCCTTTGGGTCCTGAGTCCCTGACTTGCCCTATGCAGATTCCAGTTGGTGGTGCGTGCGTGCTGAAGCTGGTGGGTTGGTCAATGGGGCTGGGCTGGGGCTTGTCACTGTAGCGTTCAAGTAGCGTAGATCTTATAGGCAAAGACACACTAGTACACCCACTGCTTAGGGATGGTTCAGGCCTGTTGCTGGCTCGTGTTTGCAGTGCTTGCGACGCTCACGGAGTAAAGCTTTGCAACCGAGGGGAAGGTGCCAGGTGGGTGCAGGTGGTGTCCAAATTGATCTCCTCCACTGTCAGCCAGACTAAGACCTTGCAAACTGACTGCGACTGCGACTGCGACTGCACTGTCAAGCCGACCGAGTCTCCAGGACTGAATTTCAACAAGGTCTTTCGAGGATTGACTCCTGACTGGCTACTGGATGCGAGGATACTTTGTAGATGGCGTGCAATCGAGATCCAGGTCCTATGCCCTATGCCCTATGGGAAGCTCGCCGGCAAGCAGGAGACTTTCCTTTGTCTGGAAAGCTAACAGGGGTCCTTGAGATGAGGACTTCAAGCTGAGAGTTCTTCGGGTGATTCGATACCCCTCTCCGGATTATTCGAACTGGGGGGTTCCTTCTAGCGAGCGCGCGATGGGGATCTGGTGCAGTGCTGGTGCTGGTGCTCCAGTTGCACCAAGTACGAGCACTGGCCAAGCGTGCTGATATGCCCTGCTGCTGATACGATACGATACGGTACGGATGGCCACAGGATAGGTGCAGCTAAGGCACTGTAACTTACAGGTACAGGGGAATAGACAAACGTCGCAGATTCGAAATCGAAGCTTTCCGTCAAACGTCTGCTATTGCCTTCTTGCCTTCTTGCGTGCGGATCCGTTGGGAGCAGTTCCTCGCTGGCCGATGAGCAGTCGAGATGAAGTTGCAATCGCCAAACCTGCAGGAACACCGTCAATAACGTCTCTTACGGCATCCGATGCGAAAATGTGACGGGTCCAGGGGGGTGAGAGGGCAATAATGTATTGCGCGGCACAGTCGTAGGCTGGGAATTAATCCGAATTAATAATGGGAGCGAACTGATTTCAGCGGAGCCGATGCCGCGATAAGGTTCGCAGCTTGCTTGCGGGTAGTCAGAGGTAATTGGTATGTATGTATTAGACTTCCCCTTTCGGCTCTTTGCCTTGCAGCATGCAGGATAGGATGGTAACGTGAATCAAGGGGGCTCCAAAGCGGAGAGAGAGAGAAAGGAGAGGTGGAATCGGAGATTAATGTTGGCCTGCAGAGTTCAAGATTTCCGAGACGGAATGTTTGCTTTGCTTTGCTTTGCTTTGCTTTCGATCTCAGCTGAGATCAGTCACTTCTTTGTTCTGTTGCAACATGGTCCTTGCGTTGCGTTGTTACTGCCCGAGGGAACCTAACCCCAGCTTCAATAATGCCAAGCGAGGGGTTACCTGGAGGCTGGAGCTACCGCTGCGCTGCCAGTGCTGTCTTTTCTACTGCACAAAAGTCCTGCAAGTCGGAAGAAAATTGGGCAATTACTTGCGACGAATATGCCGCAGGACTAGCTCACTATCACGGAAAAACAGTGTTCCCAGGTAAAAAGAAAAAAGAGTTTGATCAGTTGGGGCTTTGCTCTAGCTCAGCCTCACAGACATTGCGTACCAAATTTCATCAACACCACAAATGATGACTAAAACACGCTCAGCCTTAACTCCACATGTGGCTCAGGCTTTCTTCATCCCCAAATCTGCCTTGTTGACAGAAGCTTTGACAAAAATAGAAAATCCGTCATAAGTTGGTAGAACTACAGATGACTGTACATCAAGATCTTGAGACGCTCAATTCGACGCTTGGCTTGTCAACGTTGATGGTGCTGTTTTGGTTTTCGCAGGACTCCTTGAGAAGGGTGAAAAAGTCCTGGAAAAAACACGCGAAAGTCCTGCAGCAACCAAGGGGCGGTCGGCTTTTGGCCCCCACACAAATTCATTCGCTCTTTGAAGCCACACTGATTGGGCACACCAGAGAAACGCGTGAGTATGGTCAACGGCGCCCCTCATATCCTGACAGCTCCTCTGAAGATGGGAAAAACGTGGTGGACATCCATGTTAGCATGCGGATATTTGAAGCCTTCCAACCCGAGTGGATGAGCTGGTGGCACAGCATACCTCTTCTGTACAACATGATCGAATATCTTGGGGAATACCCTCTTCTCTTTTTCAATATTCCGTTTCTGTTCTGTGGTGGGGCTGTCACGTTTTCTGTTTGTATTAGTCCCATCCTAATTAGTGATCTCGGTGTGGCTTTTGAAAGGGTGTAACGTCCGCAGATCCTTGGTGTTTTGCTATTCGGAGCACTATGGTCTCTCTCCTGTTCAAGGAATTGAGACTTCCTGTCTTCTTAGACAATTGTCTCTGATCCGTGCCTTCCTTTCACTGGGCTTACCTGTGAGGGCACGAAGTAGCGAACTGATGCGAAGTTTGAGTCAAAGACGACCTAGGCAACCCAGCCAGTTGATTCCTTCAAAGTTAGAGACCCCCCAGCTGTATCAATTCAAAACTGTACCCGAATTCGGGAAATATCCTCTTCGAAAATTCGTAGGACCCTTGCTTCTTTGGCACCTTGGCGATTTGGATACAAACTGCTGAGTACCTCACCTCAGATGTAGGTTATGGGTTGCACATGCAGTACAATATGCATGGCCGGCGAACTGTGACGTTTGTCAGATTCATACACGATCATAAGCATTGAGTGGTTGGATTGAAATAGAACAAGCTGCAATTGGCTGTCAATTTGCGTACTTGATCTTTTGATCTGATGTTTTCGGTCCTTCAATTGCGTTTGTACGATGAAGCAATGGATATATATGGGTATTTTTATATCGACACTGTAATGGGAAGGACTCCAGCACTTCTTGACGGAGAAGTTTCCCTTGATGGAAGCGGCTCGGTCATAGCCAGTGCCACACATCTCATACCTGTATACCACAGAGACTGAATCCGATCTTTGAGGCTGACCCTAGTGCGAAAACCCTGTGATACTCTGCTCTCCAATACCCCTCGTATTGGATTTGCAACCTCTCCACAGATATAGTAGTAGTGTGGCACGAATATGGCGGGGCCTTGCATCTGAACCCGCTGCAGTGATATACTGTCGAGGCATTTTGGCTGAATGGAAGGAACGTGTTGTGCATATGTATGGAAGGAAAGATGCATATGGGGGTGCTTCTGATGCTTCGACTGGGAATTTGGAGGGTTGGTACGCTTATTTAATAATAGCCCCCTTGACGTACCGTCAGAAGCTCAGTCATCGTTGTTCGTACAATTGTGAGGAGACTGTATTCGAATGCCCAGAAAGAATCAACTCGTATCCCCTTGCATTTGTTAGAGCAACGGATTAGATGCTTGGTGTACAGTACAAAGAACAATGACCGTAACTCTCACAAATTCGAGACGGCGGACACAGCGGGATGACTTCCTGATTGGTTGATTGCCAGCGTGTTCTGTTGCCAAAGTCCAGACGGAAAAACTTTGGCGATGATCACGAGGGATTGAATAACCAGAACCGGGGAAACATTTCCCGCGAATTTTTTGGAACAGCGCTCAGACAAGACTAGCAGGTTGAGCAGCGGTAGCGGTCAAAGGAGTGCTGTGATGTGTTGTGATGTGGTCTGTGGGGTAGGCACTTGCAATTGTAGCAAGGAAAAATGGCGGGATCCCCGCGTTGTGAAATGAGAAGAGACACCATGGTATTGCAACTTGTTCTCCTCTCCATTCTTGAACATCAACAGCCTCAGGACGGTGCTTCTACTTATCCTCTCCAAGCTGCCGACCGACCCTCATCTCGTCATACACGACATCACTGCGGATGCCAATTGCTCGCAAAGTCGAATCATCGCCAGAGCCGATTTCGCCGAAGTTTGCCAGACAGGCCCAGCACCAGCACCAAACAGGTTCTGAACGTCTGGCCGACGTACAACCTCAACCCGCCCAGTTCCAAAACCCGTTCGAAAAAAGATTATCGTGGTGTTGTGCCCTCGTAGCATTGCCATTGCATTGCCATTGTCGTTGCCATTGTCGTTGCCATTGTCATTGCCATTGTCGTTGCCGTTGCCGTGTCGGAGTCGTGACGATAGAGACGCCATCGCAATTCCAGTGTACTCGTACTGGTACCTACTCATACAAGCTTCCAAGTTGGCTGGTAGAGAGCGATAGCGATACTTGTAGCATACTTGTAGCTGCAAGGGCAGCAGTCCCAGTCCTAGTCCACGGGAGCTTCTCTCTAACAAGCTAACACTTACCCGCTACTAACGCCATAAACGGGATCCAGCTACTCTGCTACTGCGACTGCGTCAATTCATCCATCACAGTATCATCAGCTGGCGGTAGTCATTAATTACTACCACCAAACCGTCTCTGGCCTACCAGCCAACCACCCCCAGTACTAACAGTAACCGGGCACTCCGCACTCCGCCCTCCTCCCTCCTCGAGACGGCCCTTTTTTTCTCCGATCAGCGAATGGAAAAGCTGGCTCCCCACTACCACAGCCCACTTCCTTTTGTTGCCCCGCAATGGCATCAAGCCATCATCCCCCTCACCATCAATCCACCTCAACGTCGTCTACTACTAGAATAAAAGCTCGTCGCCGTCCTAGATCCCCCACAATCGTCTCGCCGGCTGCTCCCTCCTCTCATTGTCCTTCTCTACCCGCTTCTCAACCAGCCCCCGAGCCTATTAACCAGTCTAACTGCAAGCCACACAACTTGTCATCCCAAAGTCCCATTGGCTTTGTACGCCTCGCCTCAGTCGCCTTTCTTGCCCTTGTCTTGGTACGCGATCACGCGCTCCTAGCGGCACCACATTCACTAATGTGATATCCCCTAGGTCCTCCAGTTTTTATTCCAGAGAAACAGTCTTCCAATTACTTTTGTTCGCAGACCCTATTCCGGCTCTACATTTTCCCCTCGAATTGAGCCTACGACTTGCGAAAATCCACCTCCATTTCCAACCGAGCCTCCTGTATCGAAACCTCCCATATCATACAGGATGGCTCTTCAAGCAGAGGCAAAGCGGATTGCCGCTGAGTTTGATTACTCGGATGCCGAAGTCAATAAAGGAGTAGCAGAGTTTATTGCTCAGATGAGTACGTAAAACAGAGAATAGACCGGCTGAAGTGATTTCTGACGATTGGCACAGATGAGGGATTAGAGAAGAATGCCACTACCATGAGCCAAATCCCTACATACGTTACTGGTGTACCAAACGGAACAGAAAAGGTGGGCTGATATCTCATGTCAGATATCCAGGCTAACAATGTAGGGTCTTTACTTGGCCGTCGACCTTGGTGGAACCAACTTTCGAGTATGCTCGATTCAATTACACGGAAACACAACTTTCAGCATTGCCCAATCAAAGGTAGCTATTCCAAAAGAGCTCATGGTAGCAAAGACAGCAAAGGAGCTGTTCTCGTTTCTTGCCAAACAGATTGAGCTATTTCTAAAGGAACATCACGAAGATCATTTCGACGCACATATCAAGCGCCGGCAGACAGCTTCGACACCCGAAGGATACCGCGACGAGCATATTTTCCGATTGGGATTCACATTCAGTTTCCCTGTTCACCAAATCGGTATCAACAGAGGCACTTTGATCCGATGGACGAAGGGATTCGATATCGCAGATGCAATTGGACAAGACGTTTGTGTATTGTTGCAAAAGGAGATTGACCTTTTGAAATTACCAGTCAAGGTTGCAGCTCTAGTCAACGATACTGTGGGAACCCTCATGGCTAGATCGTATACATCACCCGGAAAGACTAGCACACTTCTCGGAGCAATTTTTGGAACTGGTACTAACGGAGCATATGTTGAAAAGCTCGCTAAGATTACAAAACCAATGGAGGGCGAGTACGACTCGAGTACTGGTCTGATGGTTGTCAACACTGAATGGGGTTCGTTTGACAACGGACTCAAAGTGCTTCCAACAACAAAATATGATACTGCGTTGGATAAGGATAGTATCAACCCAGGTATCCAGATGTTCGAAAAAAGAGTGTCGGGGATGTTTTTGGGCGAGATCTTACGAACTGTTCTCGTCAACATACTGAAAGACCCAAAGGTGGCCTTGTTTGCAGACGAAAACTCGTCACAAAATGATTACTCCACAACAGCAAGCGTTGCGAAAGACTCGGCACTTTACAAGGATTGGGCAGTTGACAGCAGCATTCTTTCGGTTGCTGAAAGTGACAACACGGTAGGCTTGAAGACACTACGACAAACTATTGAGAAGGATCTTGGTGTTAGGGCACCAAGTCTTGAAGATGCACAGTTAGTGAAGGATGTCGCTCATGCCATTGCCAAGCGAGCGGCTCGGTTGGCAGCTGTCGCTCTTGCTGGTATCGTTCTCCAGACTGGACGACTAACTCGTGGAGCTGGACAAGCTCCAGGACCAAAATCCTCGGCGGCTATTGTCGAAGATGTCAAGTCAGGAAATGTTGTCGAGGCAGTGGCAGCTACAGCAAGCAAACTTGCAAATGCCGCAGGATTGGGTACAGACGAAGAAGAGATTGTAGATATTGGTGTCGATGGCAGCTTGGTCGAGTTTTATCCTGGATTTGAAGACTTGGTTCGCGAGACTTTCCGAGCGATAGATGGCATTGGAGCCGCTGGAGAGAGAAGAATCCGTATTGGTATTGCTAAAGATGGATCTGGAGTTGGTGCTGCGCTGATCGCACTTGTGGCTGCGAAGATGGAGAAGCCATCAGACTATTTCAAAGATCTCAAAAACAAGTTGGGTGATATTTCTCCGGAGTAAGAAAGAATTTTGGATGGAAGGGGTTTTGAGCTAAGGCTCCCCCAGTTGTTTTTTTGTTTTTGGATGGGGATGATATGATTTTTTCCACATCATGTCTGTATTTGATTCATCATGCATAACAAGGGATGAGTTTCTGGGATAACATTTGGATATCGATGAATTTATGAATCAATTTTGATGTCTGTCTTCTTCTTGTTTGCTTGTCTATGAAGTTATGCAAGATCCAAGAAGCTTGGAAATAATAAATGGAAATTATGTTACGATAACCCCTCGAAGTGTGCCGTGAATGCTTTCTTGGTCAGGCATTCTCTTGAGGGGATGAATGGAAGGTCATGATCGTTCCTTCTCATTTATTTATTGGTTCGGGTAACATGAACACAACGGTCAACAACCACCCCTGAATAGAATCCCTGTCCCTGCTGCGTCATCGTGCGTTTAATAGAGGTTATTCAACTTCATTGGAAGTCGCTCATCTCTTAACATTCATCTCTTTCTATTGTCAAGACCACTCTCTTTTGTGGTGTCCTCTCTCTAAGCTACATTCATTCGTTTGCTTCATCTCTATTTCCCACACTCGTACCTCGAGCCGTTCAAACGTGCATACATACCCGAGCACTTCCCTGTTTTCACAACTCATCACCCCTGGCATCATCAGAAAACCGGGAACTGGAGGATTGGATCAACTTTTCCCCCCCTCCATCTCGTCTACAAATCCGACCTCGGTCCTTTGTCCCAGTTGGAGGGGTGGAAAGCATTGGTTGGCTACTGTTGGTTCTTGCCAGTTGTGCGTCATTGGGGATGAGGCTTTGGGAGTTGGTGAACGGTTGTTGATTGACGCCTTGCTCTTGGATCACGATTGCGATTACGCTCCTGGCTCTGCGCCTCCTTCTGATTCGCCTGTCTCTCTCCTCGACCCTGGCCTGGATCGCTGGCAACGATCTGACTGATTTATCCTCCAGTGGGGTGAAGGATTTACGGTTGGTGTGGGGTATTTTAGTTTTGGGAGGCTTCGCTCCCAGCTTTTTCCTAGTACCTGGTTTCGCCCGCCTGTTGATCTTTATACATAGCTTACGACTTCCTCTGGTCGAACCTTTTGTTTTCGATATCGAAATTTAAACTTCATCTTGAACTGAACACGATATGAAGCCCACCAAACAGCCATCGTCGGCCTTTGCGCTACCCTCTTCCTTGCAATTACTTGCTTCAATATGTCTCCTCGGCCTGATATATCCTACCACGGCCTTTCACACAAATCGCATGTTTGAGAGAGATGTCTCTCTCAGACCTCCAAGATGGGGACCACCTATCAAAAGAGATGGACAGGTACCAATTAAAGTTACGAACAAATGCCCGGAGACGATATGGCCGGGAATTGGTACACAAGCTGGTACCGGACCTGGAAGTGGAGGATTCGAACTTGCTTCCGGAGCGAGCAAAACCTTGACGGTTAGTAAAGATTGGCAGGGAAGAGTTTGGGGCCGGACGAATTGCAGTTTCAATGCTGCTGGAAATGGGGCTAGCAATGCCAATGGAAATAATGGTGGAGGTGCCGCTTGCGATTCTGGTGATTGTGGTGGGGTTTTAAATTGTGTTATGACTGTAAGACCACATACTGCACGATCGTTTGTTTACTTGAACTAATGATAATCAGGGTGTTTCCCCAGCTACTCTAGCAGAATATGATCTGGCAGGCGGCACAGGTGGTGTCCAAGCATTCTACGATATTTCCCTTGTCGATGGCTATAACCTACCCTTAGGAATAGTTTTCATCCCGGGCGACGACCCAAAACTCCAAAAGGTCCCTCCAAATCTCACAAATGCAGTCTGCATTGCCACGGCCGGATTCGTAGCAGACCCTGCTCCCTCTGGTACTAATGGCGACTCTTCCAATGCTTCTTATCCCGTCCCCTACGAAGCCACCCAGTCCAATTCTGACATCGCAAGCTGGTGTCCTTGGGATCTCCTCAAAATCCAACCCGACAAACCGGGAGATGGAGTCTACCCTTACCCAGACGACAATATCAAACGCCCCATCTTCGACCCATGCAACTCAGCCTGTGCTAAAACCAACGCCCCAGCAGACTGCTGCACAGGCGCCTTCTCTGTCCGCGCCGATTGCAAACCCAACATGTTCTCCCTACAAGCCAACAAAGTCTGTCCCGATGCCTATGGATACGCATTCGACGACCAAGACTCCACTTTCATCATCCCAACTGGTGGCGGTTTCGAGACGATCTTCTGTCCCGAGGGTCGCAGCACGAATATCCTGAAGACGTTTAAGCAGCAGCTTCAGGATCTGACGGGCGCGCCAGGCGCGGGCAAGAGCTTGAAGGAGATTGATGAGGATGCGAGGAATATGACGATCATTCTGGAGGCGGCGAAGCGGAGTGCGGCGGAGAGGACGGGCAGGGAGGGGATGGGGTGTGTGGGTGCGTTGGTGGTGGTTGTTGCTTGGGCTGTTTTTGTGGGGTTGTGAGGATGGATTTGATTGGGATGGTTTGTAGGGGTTCTGGATACCTAACTGGGTTTTCGTGAGAAGAGGGGGTTTTTGGTCTGGGCGTTTGTTTTCTTCCTGTTATGAGGTTGTGATGGGAGAGGGGGAGATGAATGGTGCGAAGGGGATTACGCGAGATTGTTGGCGCCCCCTTTTTTCGTTTTTTTGTTGGTTTTGCAATTCCCTAAGATACCCCCTACTTTTTTTGAGTATGCTACTGTAGCCTTTCCTAGTCTTTCTCTTGAACTTTGCTCATGGCGATGAGGTCGAAATTGAAGTTTACGAATATGAATACCGTAGAATACCGTAGAATACCGTAGAATACCGTAGAATGAATGAAATGATGAATTTGGTGGAACAAAGGAGTCTAACTTCCAACTGCTGCTTTCCCTTTTTCTTCTTTTTCTTTTTGTTAGGAGGGGGGAGGAGAAGGGGGAAAGATATGTGTGTTTGGTATCCTGCCCTTTATTTCTTGGCGATTCGCCAAGCTACGATATACTCCTAGAATACATTGGATCTTTGTAGTATTTGACTAATAACAAACTAACTGACTCACCTATCTATTCACCTATTCACCTACCGCTGTATCTTCACGCCTGTAAATCCTCATATACCCCCCCCGGTATATCCCCTAGCTCCCATCTCAGTACTTCAAATATCACAAACCCTATTTTTAACTCTATCCTATCCTATCCTATTCTACCCTCTTTTACTGTACCTTCATCTTCACCTTCACCTCCCCAACATTCCCAAGCAGCCCAGGGTCGGGGCCAGACTTCGAACCTCGCTTCCCTCTAAGACTGGAAGGACGTAGAAGATGGAATGGGTGGATGGGTGGATGGAAAACCCCGTCTGGGGTATTGGTTGAAAACAATAGAGAGGAGAGGACCATATAGTGGTGGTTTGAAAAAGATGGACAGACAGATATAGGTAGACAAGAGAGTGAAAAGGAGGGGAGGGGTAAATTATAAGGTTCCTGTACTGTAGATATCTTTCATCAAGTCAGTCAATTTACTTATCTAGCTAAGGTATGAGTAAGTATCATATTTTTCATCTCACAGCTACTGTAGTGTACCAAAAGCTACCAAGCTATCTGCATAAATGAACCCAGGTCGCTAGCTAGCACGTTCGCACGTCCAACCCTAGCCTTAGTCTTAGTCTCAGCAACAGTCAAGCAATCTTTCCTTCAGCTCAAATAAATCCCACTCCCTACTCCCCACCCTTGTGCAAGTATCCCCGCATTCAATTCTTACTCTTACACACAGTTACCAAAACCCAGGTACTGCAGCGACCCGCCTACGAAATCAAGTCCACAGAAACCGAGGATCCCCATCTGACCTAATACTCAACCCCGTTAACAGCCGCCAACAAACTCTCCGGCAACTCCTCCTTACTCATGATGCCCAAACTCAAGACGTCTCCCCAGAAGAAGAGAGCCCGATGCTGAGCGTAGGCCAGGTAATCGAACTCGTCTTCCTCTTCTAGGCCCTCCTCTGGCTCTTTCTCTCCATTCTGCTGGGTCTTCTCGCCGTTCGTCTCTACGACACCATCCTTTACCACTTCGCCCGATACTAATCCATTTGTAACGCTCTTCTGATCCAGCGATCCGTTGATATGATGTCCATCATCCTTAGGCGTAGAAGAAGTAACAGTTTCCTTCTCAAGGACAGCATCCTCTTCCTCTTCATACCCCGTAGTCTCCTCACCATCCAATCCAGGAACCTTGGCTTGTACAATACCCCACGCAACCCATTGCGCACTATTAGCCAATCTCCAAATTCTAGTCTCCTCCATCAATCCCTGCACCCTTCTTTCAATTTCCAATTCTATCCTCTTCTCCTCCTCTACAAATGTCCCAGAACCATCCTCTTGTCTCTGATTCAAGGTCAGAGTAGAAGTGGAGGAACTTCCGAGAGCTGAAGAAGGAAGACTGATATTACTAACACCACCAGGAGCTCGGGAATCAAGAAGAAATTCGTTGACGCCTCCGCGCATGCTGGACGTACTAGAGTCCATGGCTTGGAGTTTAGGTGTTGCAGAGGCGCGGGGATTATATTGTGGACGATGGTTGACGTAAGAGCGGATGAAAGTTCGTTGTTGTTCGATTGTTGGGTATAAGTCTGTGTTGCAAGCCCATGAACGAGTTGGGTCGTGGTAATTATAACACCATTCGGTAAAATGATTTGCAAATTCGAGACCGGGTGTGTTGGCCGAGGCGTATTCGAAGTCGATGACGATCAACTGTTTATGGTGGTTTGCTGGGAGGAGAAGAGGAGATGGAGGGGGAATGGGGCCGCCTTGAGATGGTGTTGATGGTTGCGCTGGGACTAGACGAAGAATATTGCCATATTGAGTCTGAAGAAATATTAGCAGATTTCACAAAGTAGAAGGGAGTAAACTTACATCATTATGGGCAAATACCAAGCGACTCTCCACGCCCCCCTTCATTTTGTAATACTCGTCCAACCACTTTCGGTACTTATCCACAGCGCTTTTGAATACTTTCCACTCCACCCCACAAACCAATCCTCTCTCTCGCCAGCCCTCTCCTTTGCCCTTTCTTTTACTGAGAATCTCTCCATCAAGATAGGTAATAACTTCTTGACATCGATCAACCCATTTGTCCCAATTTCTCCAAACAAATGGACCTTCTTCTCTTTCTCTATCAAGAAGGTCAATCCCCTCATGAAGCTCTCTCATTCGCTTGGCAATCTGCTTGCTTGTATCTGTAACTCTGAGATCGTTGGCCTTCAAAGTAGTGGCATTGAAGTATTCCTCAAATCGACCGTTTGTGAATGTTCCTAACAATCTTGGTCCAATCTTCTTTCTTGCTAGTCTCTTCAAAATCCCCAGCTCGTTCTCACGATCAATGAGATGCTCGACTTGAGGTCCATAGATTCGCAAAAGCAATTTGGGAGGAGGTTTTGTAGAATGAGGCTTCGAACTCAAGTTGGAAACGGGAAGATCTTTTGGTGGAGACACCACGTAGACTGCATTCGTGAGGGCACCACTCAATCTTTCAACCTCGATTTCGGATCCTCGTTCCAATGGAACTTTTCTCCAACCTTTCAACCGTAGGGTATGTGCCAATCTGACAATCTCGCTCTTAAACTGTGCCCAGTGTTTTGGCTCCTTTTCTGCTCGCTTAGAGGAATTGAGGGTGACCGTCGTATCGGAGGATTCCAAGACTGCTCCACCCCCGCCATATGACATGGTTTTGGAATTGTCAAGCACAACGTCACAACTTGGCACAACCACATCCCCGTCCTGGTATTCGGTATCTGAGCTATAGACCCCTCCTCCCAATTTCTTGGCAGAGCTTCTTCTCCTTCCCAAGACACTAGGTCTTCGAAGGGAGGTGGGAGATCCTGATGGTAAAGAATCATAGCCAAAGTTGGACATGTTATCTTCCAGAATCCGCTGCAATTTATCCAGGGATAGGATGCTGGAATCCGAACTGGTAGATGCCGTTCTTGGTCTGAAGATGTGCGTACCTGGACGCTCACCTTCCTGGCTCGCCGCAGCAGAACCATTCTCATCGCCTCCTTTCCTCTTCGACTTCCGCGCCGCCCTCTTGGATTTTTCCGCCTGCAGCCAATTTAGGACATCTGTGAGTAGCTTGTTCTCCTGGTGATGCTGCGCATTCTCCTGCTTGTCATGTTTTTCGTGTTTTTCATGTCTGTGGCGGTGGTGGAGGAGTTGTCGCATATGGTGATGCTTATTCTCCTTTCCCTCTGTCTGCTTCGACGCGCTCGAGGTTTCGCCGTCGTCCAAGCTGCTCTGGCTTATAATTGAGATTCTGCTCGAGGTGCTGGACGGGGCCATGCTTGGTCGTCCGCTCAGTCGCCTGCCTGCAACGCCCGCAGGAAATTGTTTGATGCGCGTTTCTTCGGCAGTATAGGTCGGTGGTAGAGGAGGAATGGGTTCGGGCTCGCCTTCGGCAATGGAGACGACTATGAGAATTTTTGGTTAGATCTCCAGGCCAACTCGCAGCGCGCAAAGAAAATGGGGAGTGGAGGGGGAGGACTATCGGAAGGAAAGATAAGGCGCTCCAGCTGGCGAAGGGAGCTTGGATAAGGAATCCTCACTACCCGTAGCTGGGTCCAGCACCTGCAACAGCAACAGCATTCCATGGGGATCAACTTGACGCCTCCCTGTCGCATTGTATCGCGGTGCAGCGCAGTGTGCACACTACAACCCCAACCACAACCCCGCACTGCTGTGGTGTGGACAGAGTACAGTACGAGTACTCTGATTCGCAAATGGCAAGCCAGCACAACGCACCCAACCTTTCATCGTGAATGCCTACCACTGCTGCTGCGCACAATGGCACAGGCAGACGTAGCGGCAGACCCCGCTGCAGGACACACGAAAATTCCCATCAGCTCACCTTTCGCTCCCGTTTTTGGGCTGTACGTTTCATCCGTGTCGTCGCTCTTAAGGGCAGGTCGCAATGGAGGAGGGGCCTCCGCGGGGGAGGCTCCAGCTGGCGCAGGGCTCATGGTCGCGTTTGGTCTGATGTTCTTATGCTTCAAAATAATGATGATGTGGAGGTTTTTGTGATGGCAATTTCTTCGTGTTTTCCAAAAAAACAATTCTATGTAGGGAAGAGGGTAAGTTATGGAGATGTAGATGTAGCTACCATGACAGCCGTTTTTCGTTTTCGAGGGTCAGGGTCCACTGCCTTGAAGCTGGCCCAACAATCATGCCCACGTGCTCATTTTTCAGACACCTATCCAGCTCCACTTCACCCAGAAACACCAAGGAAAGCGGTGACGTCGATGGAGAGAATGTAGATGAATGTTCCTCAGGTACAGAATACTAGAAAAGGCTGTTATCGCCAATAAGATCTCATGGAAACGGATCTTTTCTCACAAGGCCAGAAATGCCATCACGATATGCATCTGAAAAATTCAAGGAATTTGAACAAAGGCCTAGAGTAGCCAGGTGGACAATGACATCGTTGTGGCTGAGCTTGTGGCTGGGCAGATGCCAACAACCAATGAAATGGAGGAAACGTGGAGGGATAAAGATAAGACGCATTTAGCTGCATGTGATTTTGTTTGGCGAAAAGGATCGCTTCCTATATAGGTATGTTTACCGAACCCCTTTCCTTAACGACTCTTTAAGGAACGTCCTCAACGACCGCTTACCCACATTAATGCGTGCATCTTGCATGGTGACGAGTTACGGTACAGGAAAGCAAGAGAAGTTTCACTTGACTGCGCAATGCATCTTATAGAAAGATGTCAGAAGAATATGCGTTACGTGATTGAAATTTGGTATATTCTTGCGCACTATTCTTTTCGTAAACTAGATACTACAATGCCTGTATTCCTGCCAAACAAAAGAGCCCCCAAGTAAGTCAAAAGCTTTATCACTATCATTATACAGTGCACTATCTTTGTGAGTTCGAGTATGTACCTGAGTCAAGATGTTTCCCATCATTGAAGACCACCACAAAAAAACCGTCGCCATCTCTAATCAACAGATTCTTCAATAGTAGCAACCTCCTCAGCAATTCTCTCGCTGGAAGTACTATTGAGATCCATGCGAATTGGTAAACTCCACTCTCCTCAACACTACCCTCGGTTTCGACGGTTTCTCTAATACTAGCTGTATCTCAAAGAACATCTGTTGTCGAATTCACAGCCGCATTGTCAACTGACTGATCCCAAGCATTCTACCCACCCGTCTGATCATTCCCTAAATCATCAGCTCGCTCAGATATAAAGTTTTCCAGGGCGTTGTTGGCAGCTATAACATCGGCGAGACCGTCCTGAACCCTTTCTGCAAGAGGGATTGCTTTCGGTAAACTCGTTTTCTTCAGGTCTCATACCTCCAAAAACGAAAAGCGAAGGAGTGCTCAAATGATACCTAGGTGTGGCCGTGATACTCAAAGCTCCCTCAAACCCCCCATTTTCATCAAAGACGACAGCTTCCTCGGATGTAGTAAACCCCTCTATGGGAGCATTCCCTGCAATATAATACAAGGCAGCTACCGAATATTCCGAGTCCCCGTGGTGGCCCAACGCCCCCGAATCATGATATTGGGTTGGCGCAGCAGCATCCACCAGAATTTCAGGCCAATCATCAGAAATACGCGGAGGACTAGTACCGAAGCCACTTTCTGGGTGATTATCGTAATACGCGTCCGGAAAGCGATGTGATTTCGTCGAGAATACTCTGCGGCACATGGGACAGGTGGGTGGTTGACTTTCACCCAGCCAGGCGATGATACAACCGCTGCCAAAGACATGGTGACATGGAGTTTCGACCGGATATTCCACTGTATTCTGGGGCGTCTCCTTACCCATCTCGTCGCCGCAGATGTTGCAGTCCTTATCGTCCATTTTGGCGAGCTCGAGATCACGTAATAACAATGGGATGTCGTCTTCTCCCTTGTATATATAGCCATATTCCTCCTCTTTATCGGCCACGAGGTTGAGCATCGATGTAGATTCTAGAAGCATCATAAGCTTTGCCTTGAGGTTGAGAGGATTTTGACTATGGGCTTCTGCGCCACTGATCTCGAAGGTGGAGGAATAGTAAGCGACTGCAGCCGAATACAAATCGTCAAACTGTCTTCGTTCTTCGCCTCGAACTCGGAATAGCCGTTGTACTGCAGGTTGCTCGAAATAACGATCAAAGTCCACAGGATGGAGTCTAGTTGCGTAAAGTAGTGGTCTGTTATCCGCGATCATCTTCGCGAACAGTCTCTCTCCTGTTTCGATCCTCTTTTGCTCGTGTGCACTTGGTCGTTCATCCTTAGCATAACAATAAGGGCAGCTCATTGCGAAAAAGAGTTGTTCCTTCGTCTCGAGCTCGTCACATGGTTTGAAGGGCTTGGAATCTTCACGTCGTCCCAAAAGTGTGTCGTCGTTTTGTCGGAACATCTGAAAGCATCCTTGTTGTCCATTTCGACAGTTGACGAGAAACGCGTATCTTGTCGCTACCTCCAGCTTACAAGTGCCACAACGGAGAAGATACGCTCGACACATTTTTGGCGATGAGGTGGCTTGCGTGTGTGGGGGGTTTTTGTGATGGTTTGGTGGGTTTTCGGTGTTATGGCGGATGACTTGATATGGGTCAAAACAAGGGATTGGAAAGTCGAAGCCACACCTGCTAGAGCTGTTAAATGCTATTGTATGCATGCTTCTATCAAGGCTTGGTAGAAGTGAATGGCGCCTGAAGCTACTAGCCTCTAGCTTCCCCTGGCAACCATTGTTAATATTAAGTGAAGATATGTAGGACAAAGATAGTAGAGCCAGAGCCTACTCTTACCCCTGACCTATACATACACATAGAATACTCACTTAATCTAATACTTAAACATATATAGATAATGTAATATGAGGCTATAATAATCAAGATAACTTACTATATAAGACAGCCGGTTAATACTCTATAAACACTATAAAAGATTATTATACTAACTATCTAGTATAATTAAATTTAATTTCTTACTATAACTTAGTTCTACATTAGTAAATAAAAACTGAATTTTCTAATTAATCTAAGCTATTTATATAACTGTTTAGTTGTATAATAGTTCTAGATTAATATAATTATAAATTAGATATATAAGAATATTAAATGTTACTCTAAATCCATTTTACTTTATACTAATACTAATCTACTATAATACTATTTAATTATCTAGAATAGATTAAAAATTAAAGATATAATAATTATTATTCGTTAATATATAGTAAACCTTTCTTTTATTTTAATTATTTCTTTTAGATTTAATTATCTTCTTTATAAATAAGTTATATAAATAACTAATAACTTAATTATTTTATTCTTTATTTACTACTAGATATCTTTTATTAGTTTTAGGTTAAATAAATTAAATAGTTATAACTTAGTTATAAGAATTAAACTATATTTAACTTAAATAAGCGAGAATACCTAGCTTTTATAGATTCTACTTTTATTATTTATTTATATATGTATTCCTTTTTCTCTTAAGTACTTTAGAGACTTCTATTATAAGAATATAACTAACTTTAAAGCTTAGTGTCACTAATCACGTGCTAGCACGTGAAGAGTTAGTCCAGGCGGAGTCCTGACAGGACAAACACACCTCGAAGTAGTTATAACATATTGGATGGTTACTCAGACTAGCTGAGTATCCAAGGATTTCATAGAGTTCGTTATCACGTGATTGGATCAGTCGGATCAGCAGGATCATTGAATGATCCAAGTGATCCAGAAGATCCAGAGGGACGGATCAGTAGGATCAGTAAGTTGTTACCATGATCCATATGATCCAGTGAAGAACAGAGGTTCTATATAAGACTGGCACGTCTGCCATTAGATAGGAGCTTCGTGCTCAACTTAGTTATCAATCTTATCATATTAGTTTGACATCTTTGATACAAGTAACGAGTTCACTTCCAAGTGAACAACCCGATAGTCTTTCTTCTTATCATAGCATACCAACCAGCGAACACCCAGCCAAGTTTAGTTAGCCAGTTTGAGTATTCGTTACACTTGGTATAAGTAAAAAAAAAGAGTAAAAACTACTTATTTATTATTCTATAATAAATTAAATCATTTTCTTTAGGCTTAAATATTATATTTAACTACTAGGGTATATATAAGAGACGTGGTTATTACTCTTTATATATCTCTTTATTCTAAAAGCTTTTTATAACTAAATTAGTTATATAGAGAGTTTAGAATAATAATTAGCGGTTACGTTTTATTAACCTAGGTGTTCTAAGGCAGTCATTTTACTTGTACTAGAAATTTAGTATAATAGGTTTCTTTATAGTATGTTCAGAGTAATAACTAGGAGGTACCTTACCATAAGGATAGCGGGTAACCTATTCAAGATTTTGAAGCGACAAGAGTAAATCTAGAGATCTTTACTTTGGGGGCACCGCTAGGCAAGAATATAAGTCAAGGCTAATGTAAATCTCATCTGTGTTAACAAGAGCGTCTAAGAACTTAAGAGTCTCAGGTAATCAATGACTTGCACCCCTCGAGTCAAGGTGAATGTAGGGGCGATCCAAAATCACCTTTAAGATACCTAGTATTCACTGTAGCCCTCAATAAGGGCAAGGGCCTGCTATTGTCTCATAGATTGAAGATCCGCGTCATTGTCAGAGTCGAAATGATCAGCTAGTATGAGAATAAGATTGATTACGACCCTCGCCGCCGGCTGCCTTTTAAGCGGGTCGATGTCTAGCTGGAGCAGGACAAGGAGTAAGGGGTGCTATATCCTTAATACCATTCGTGTTACGAAACGCTGGTCCATGAGGAGTGGCATGTGACTCCTGCATTTAGCGAGACTCCCTGTACGTTCGATATGGATCCATATAAGCCACGCTACTCTTAATTTGTGAATTCCTAGTCCTATTCAGGAAGGACCTATAGTACTATACAGGAGAGCTCCTATATGAGAGTACTACTCCTCCTTTAGCTAGCTCTTTTGAAGTATCCACTTTTTACAGCTCGTTTTAACAGTCTCCTGTTTTGTCCTTGACAATCAGCCTTAGCTGTCTCATCCCCATAAGCTAGGCGAAGAGACAGTGACTGCAAAAGACGTACTCACATGAAGTCTTGACAGGGAGCTTTAAGGACGTTACTAGTCAACGGCTTTCCTACCTCGTCGCCGCAAGAGTTGCATCGCTTGCTAGTAACCGAAGAGAGGCCAGCTCTGCGAGTAGTGACGGAAGGTATTTTATATACTTGTTGTCCGCGTCGGCGACGATGTTGTAGTACATGAGATGCTTGAAAATATCAAAGAATGGACTTTCCCCAGCCCTGAAATCGTTCGCGTAATTGGATGATGTTTTGGCAGGTATGGCAAAAGATTAGGAGGACTCGACTGCGGTGTAGATTCTGTCAAGTTCCTTTCATTCCTCGCTTCCATCGAAACTGGAGGTTGCTTATTTGTGGGTGAGACCGAAGAGAGTCATAGGGTTCCTGATTGAGCTGCTATCAAACCATAGATCGCTGTAAATTCTCTTTCCTGATCGGTCGATTTCTGGTCTTTCCTCTCTGGATATATACAAGTTCGGTCATTCCTGTTTATGGAAGCAGTAGCAACGTCTAGTTCCATGAAAGTAGCTCTATTATGTCTCAGATATTGGAGAATAATTGGGAATGATAGCACTGTTGGGATGTCTGGTCGGATCTGTTGGTTATTTCAAGAACTTGGATATTGTCCATTTTGGCAAATTACCACGCGTGTCGTTTTTGCTACAAAGTTGGGGCCGCATGTGGCACAACGGATGTCAAATTTCCGGCATTTTTTGAGTGATAATCAAGCTTCCTGGTGGAATTGATGGTTGTTTAGAATTTGATTTGTATTGCAGTATCCAAGTCTGATATGGTTTTTTGGGGAGTAAAGGATCATGGATAAAGCGAAGAATTGTCATGTAAAGAACGGCGGCAAGTCTAACCGGGATTGTGTAACTCTTCTAGATGAAAATGTGCTTCCCAGCCCGGGGTACATTATTTTCACTCACATTTATAGCTGGAGGGAAGAAGGATTGGAGTTCATATCCAATTGGCTTACTTTCTGTGACAAAAGATTGGGTTTAAAACAAAAATGTTACAAAATGGAATCTCATGGATTATTCAGGAGATTAATGGCGAATGTTTATTAAATAAATCTTCACCTCAATTCTTATGCAGTATTTCTTTCGACATACTCGGTTCATTTGTAAGTCAGCACCGCAGGTGTTTCTCCTATAAAGATTTGTAAAGCATCTGATTTATATGTTATTGTACTATCAGGTATTTACTGATTCGCAAAAGTAGACATCTAGACTAGTCATAGGTTCCACCCTCCAACCCTCTGGTTCATCCTCAATTAATCCCCGAACCTCCGCATCAACACTGCTTAAAACGCACGTATATTTCTCGGCCATCTCGTCTGAGAACTCCTTTAAATCCGGTACAGTCCATTGGTCGTAAAGTCTGCCATGCGTCCGACTTGGAAAAAACTCTTTGTGCTTTTGCAGGAACTGGAAACAGAGGAAACACAGGGATTTCGATATCCCAATAGCTCTCGGTTTAGGGAAACCTGGCTTAGCATGTATTGGTGGCTTGTCGGCCGAAGATTGAAAGAGCAAGTCATAGAAAACACACAGTTGAATCTCGGCATGGACATGCATACTTCCCGCCCAACTCTCATACCCCACACTCGTTTCCACGCCCTCATGGCCACTCAGGAACTCCATTTCTATTCCTCCCTCAAACACCTCTTTATATGCTCTCGAGATGTTGACAAGAGAGTAGCAAATCCTCCGATAAGATCCAATCTTCTGGATCTGTCTCAATGATTTGATAGCACTAGAAACCTGACTAGTAGCCACCTTCCCCACACTATCCTCCAACCTCTTAAGATACCCCTTCGCCTCTCCAGAAACACTAAACTCATAACTCTTGATCACAAGATCCCGCAACCTCTCGCCCTCATCCTCAATCACTTCAAAGTCTGCATAAATCTTGGCCAGAGAATCAAGAGAAGCCAGGATGGAAGACAGTGAACTCTTCTCTTTCTTACTATAAAGAAATTGCGTCCTATGTTTCAGATTCACGAAGTCCTTCCAGAGAGCTTTTTTATGGGACTTAGCTAGATATTTCGGTTTCTCCCATTTCTTACTGCGCAAGCGGGCCAGTAATCTCCTCTGATGCAGTGCGAGGACTTTCTCGAAAATAGCTTCCACACATCCTTCCTCGGATGAAGTAAATTGGCAGAGAAGAGCCGACATGTCAAGGAGTAACGATTTGATATTTGAATCAAGCGTCGTATCGAGAGCCGCGAACCGAAGTCTCAGACTTTTTCGCTTCCCGTTTCCGTTTCCATTTCTTTTTTCGCACTCGTCTCGCATTGGATTAACACTCAACGAACGACTGACTTCCTCAACACAAACAGCCGCCACACTCTGCGCCCCCTCCTCAACAGCAGCCAGCGAAGCGAATTCATCGGCTAGCTGTTGCTCCACTTTCAAAGGTAGAATATGATCCTCATCCCCGCCACTCTCTCGTCCTCTAATCCACACCTCAGCATCAAAAGCCAAAGGCGCCATCGGAACAGCATTCGTACGTTCCTCAAGCGTCACCAAATTCCGTCGGAAGGAATCTTCTTGTAGAGGAGGACGCCAGATTGATTTTGATGGGTGTGCGGTACGAGGATTGCGTTTCGACATTCCTCTCTTTTGGCTGGTACTTTTTATTCTTGGAAGAGGATGAGACTTTGTTGAATTGGGGTTATTGATGATGATTTGGAGGGATGAATGTACTAGAAAGTGAGGAGATAAGATATGTCGTGTCAAGTATCTTAAGTGAGGATTATGGTAGAGTATGAGATCTTAGGCTCATGTGTGTTTTCAAGATATGTTAGGGTCCGAGGTTAAGCCGGGATTGGCGTCTAGTACGACATTTTAAATGACACAAAAGTAAAAAAGGGGTGAAGAGAAAGTAAAGTGTAAGAGAATTGTTGTGCTGGGTCTACTTTCTCTTTTGCTCCACTTCCTTATTTGATCCACTTATAGTTCTGCTGCCTAAATGCTTCATGTCTGCCTAAACCTTACACTCTTTATATAAACACCTTAGATAGCTACCTTTTACAAGGCAATCAATTCTCCATGACCTTCAGTACCCAATACCCTTTCAACCCAATAAGAATTGTTCAAAGATAACTTAATATGAGGGTATTTCGTAGAGTAATTCACAATGAACTAAATATGTCGTTGAGAATACATTGGTAGTTAATATAACCCAACCTAGGCTCATCAAGTAGCTGCTGCGCTCGTGCTCCTAAAATTACAAACAATTTATGACCCATTACTCAGTTCTCCAAAGCCATTTCCCAATCCCTTTTCACGAATCTCAAAATCATCTTCTTCCACGTTTAGGTGGCAGAGATCTCGAGTCACTATAGTCCCTTCTTCTCTTAGAGGGTGGTGGTGAGATTGATCTGCTGTCACGACGACCCCGTCTAGGCGGAGAATAATCACGGCCTCTTCTGGGAGGAGATGCTGAGCAACTATCTCGTCTAGCTGCTCTTCGAGGTGGCGGAGATGGGGATCGCGAAATACTTCGTCGCGCGTCGCTAACAGAAGAAGTATTTCTTCGTCTCCGAGGTGGGGACCTGGAGCGACTCTTGCTCAGAGATCTACCTCTTTTAACGGGAGGCGTGGCAGAATAGCTATCTCTCCGCGTGGTTCTTCGTGGTGGAGGTGTGATAGATCTGGACCTTGACCTTGACCTCGAATCGCTAGAATAGCGTCGCTCACGACGAGGAGAAGTTCGGCGCTTTGGTGGAGTAACAGATCTGGAGGGGGATCGAGAAACAGACCTGGACACGGATCTTGTCGCGCTTCGGCGTCGGGGTGACCCTCCACGTTTGACGGTTCTGGGAGGTGTTCGGGAAACCGAGCGCCTTCTACTATCGACGGAACGTCTTCGGTCACCACCACGGGAACGTGATCGAGAGCGTGAACGTGAGCGAGAACCAGAGTACGAAGATCCAGTGTATGATGAATAGCTTGATACAGAGCTACCTGAATCCGACTCCTCGTCCGCAGCAGGAGGTGCAGGTAAGGCAGGCTTAGGCAGATTCTGCAGGTATTCTCGCGATTCTTCAGTCAATGCACCCATACCAATACTGGTAAAGTAATTGATGGAAAATCTTGTGTTGCGAGGGTTGTCCCTAGGAAAGAGTCCTTCAAAATATGGGCGAAGGACATCATCCTTTAGACGTGCTTGCAATTTAGGCATTCCCATGGCCTCGGACAAGTCCTGGAAAAGAATTTTGATGAAAATTCTGCTACTCGATGTTGTCTCCTCCTCATTCAAATGTACCACTGACAGTACATGCCAGCCAATGGCGTCCGAACTGATCAGGTGACCAAAGAATCTAGCAATGTTTCTTAATCTGTTTGTTTCGTATCGATGAATGGTGTCATAGTATTTCATAAAAGATTGTTCAAATTGTTCGGTCCAGAGGCGATCGATCTTTGCGAAACGTTCTCCAATAAGACCATAAAATTTCGAGTATGTCTTTTCTTGAGAACAACATTCGATGATCATCGATGGGAGTTCGGGTTCTTGTCCAGGAGGAAGGTTGACTTTCATCAATTTGTGACAACATTCTTCGGGGTCGATACTTGACATGATGGTCAAATATATGGTACGTCGAAGATTGACTAAATCGGTATTGCTCTGATCCTTGATTTCCAGCTGCTTTTCTCCTTGCTTCTCCTCATCATCCTCGCTGTCGTCAGTCTCATCATCGTCGTCGTCATCATCATCACTGCCCTCGCCCAAAATTTCTGCTTTCAGAGAGCGATATGCTTCCTCGTGCTCCTCCCATTCCGGATCAAATTTGAAGATATTCAAAGTATCTTGAACCTCGATTTGATCATCCAGCTCCGTCGTATGAGTGATTTGATCCTCTTCTTCTACGAGATCAAGTTCCTCTTTGATAGCCGGGTTGTCCTTGTACTGATCCTTGCGAACCTGAAAAAGCACCTCAATCATGTACTGCACTCTTTTGTCGATATCGGCCTCATGTAAAATGTTTCGAAATTGGTCAAACACTGCCAATGCAATTGGGCGATTCATTTCCTCGAGATGCTGCCCAACTTCTCTTGTCAATCCGACAGCAATCTCTACACTATCATCTGTGGGGTTGTGTAGAAGGAGGAGTAGAATCTGAGCGGCCACAATTTCATTTGCGACTTGTTGATTGCAGAGATGTGCGATAAAAGTTGTAGATGACAGACATACAGCCTTATCATTTCTCTTGAAGCCCTTCTTGAACTGAACAATCAGTCTTTTGAGAAGGAGTTCTCCAACCTGAGGGAGTTTGGTATTGACGATAGCTGCCATGGCAGCGTAAATTGGTGTGAAGGGCAAACTGGCAGCTTGCGCTTTCATAATGCTTCTGCAGAATAAACCTCGTCCTCTGACCAGATTTTCTCCAAAAAGTTCCGGTACAATATGTTTGATGTTCGAAACGTTGACCTTGTTGATGAGACCGTTGATAGACTTTTTCAAAGCCTCCCAAGCCATGCGCTGATACTCCTTGCTGGATTTATCCGTAATTTGAGATTGGAGAGCTCGTAATCGAGCTGGAGGTATGTATGTTCCGCCCGATCGCATGGTCAGAAGCTTCTCATATTCTGCCTTTGCGGCAGCCTGCTTTTCCTCCTCAGTCCTAACTTTTGCGACACCACCTCTGCCACGTGGGGCGGATCCCTCTCGTCGCGGTGGACTTCTTCCATTTCGATCGCCGCGCGGGGATGTAGGAATCCTTCGCGAAGGTCCATCGTCAAGATGCGATTCCGTTGAAGGGATTGGGGTTTCGACCTCCATTTTTGTTGACAGGATAGAAAGTTGGGTTCCAGAGATTAAGAGGGAGATTTCGCAGGAACTACTGGAGCATACTGATATGATGTCTTGCCTGGGAACCTGCTCGCAGTATGCGACTGCCCTTGAATTGTAGGTTTCGCGGAGATGGGGAAAAGTTGCGAAAGTGTGGATGGAGTTGAAAGTCTGATGAGGATGAGGCTGAAGGTGATGGCTGTCGGCGATTTTGAGCGTCGCGCCAAGACCACTTTTTAAGCTCGCGTCAACTCCTGTCGCTGAGGGAAGCCAGATTTACGGAGCCAGCCTCACCACCACAACCCATTTACACATCACACCACAACACAAAACTCAAAGTATCAGTCTTCTCGGACCTGATTCCACACGCTCCTTTCTTACAGATTGCAACAATGGTATGAATCACCCAATCCAATTTGCTGCAAAAGTCTCCTGTTAATAAAACTCAGCTGGACAAATTAGTTGGCCTTGGGATGCTCGTCACCGCGTCAGTCGTATTTCTCTATTATAGCATTTGGACACTTCTCATGGTATGTCACCATTTACTGTACTGTACTTGGAAGGGAAAGAAATTAATAGCATATCTACAGCCATTTGTCGACTCAGACCACCCCCTTCAAAACCTCTTTCCTCCACGAGTTTGGGCAATTCGCATCCCAGTCATCCTTATCCTCCTAGCGTCGGCTGTTATAGGATCCTTCTTGAGTGTGGTCATGATCCGAAGCAACAGAAAGAGAGCGGCAAAGGCTAAGGCAGCTGGTAAGAAGAAGGCATAAGGGGCGAGGTTGAATTGTTTACTTGTATGGGCGTCTCTTGGGGAAAATGGCAAGGATGTGTAATTTTGGTCAATATATTGATGAGGTCGATTCGACTATCGAATATGACTAGAAAAGCCCTTTTGTGTTTGCAGGAATGACCGGCGACTGGTGTATGAAATGGTAATAGATTTGGGCAGGTCCGAATAGTATGTGTGTTACAATATACCCAAATTCCCATTGCCCTGAGCCTCGAATACATGCGGTATTTTTGCAATGAGCATTACCTTTTCTGAACGACTTACCTGAGTGTATTCCAGCTCAACTGAGCAACGAACTGATTTCCAGGGGCTCTCGTACCTGACATGGTATGCAGAAACCCGTACGCCTTAGGTCCTCTCGAGGTCCCGCAGTTCAGAGCCAAATGCCGGAAATAGCCCGTTTGGGAGAACCAACATAATGAGGGGGGCCAATCGAGATCTCGCTAAGTACTTTGGGTGACATCCAGATGATTGTAAGCGCGCGGTTTCTCCTTGGTGGATTAATGGCCCTGAATGATTCGCACACCATAACACCCCACAAACAGGGCAGAATGCTCCGTACATTGCACCTGGCCAGTACTTGCCCAAAACAGCTGTTGTTAATATTGTCCATATTGCGAACATGCAGGGGGTTCGCAAATGATAATGAAATGGAGGCTGGCAGTTCTTCTACCTACTGTAGGTATCTTACCGGGGCGACGTTGGTAACTCTTCTCATCTGAGAGGCAACTTCTAACATCGTGCTAGAAAGTTGGAATAACGAGAGCTACTCATTTGCAAGTGAGCAACTCGTGATGGGTTTCCTGGTTCCGGGGTTCTCTTCTATCAACCCATTCAACCGGGATGACCGCGCATGACCGGATTGAGAGATTTCAACGAACCAAAGAAGATACATCATATCGCAATTAATTGAAGTTTACTGCACTTTCCGATATGGGAGAATGCAACCATTGGTGATGTCTTGATACCACAACTTGCATGTGGACGACTGTTATTGAAAGCCAAAGAGCCGAGGGCCAGTGCAGATATCGAAAGGTATTCAATGTGACAAGAAAGATCAATCGTTCAGCGTTGCCACTGCCCAGCTGTTCGCCACCACAACACGCTTTCGTTTTCCACCGCCGAGTCGGGCATCGACCAACAACATGGATTCTATCTTAACAGCGGACCTTTAAAAAGCCTGCCTGCCTTCACAAGGACTTGCCATCGACAACTTGACATTGATGAGAAAGATGGGATGTATACCGATACCGGTACTTACCTTACTCGTGAGTATGGGGGTTTGTTTTGCAGACCACCTTCATCCCAACCCAACTCGACTATACGGATCATCCTCTTTCATTACTTGTCGGCACACTGGGTTGCATTTTTGGTTACGCACTGCGTAGATGGTGCAACATCAACTCTTTTTTCCAAGATGTTCATGGTGTAAAGTTGGTACTGGTGCGCATGTTTAATACTATTGGACGATCGCATCAGTCATCATTGCGGGAGACCATATCGACAACGACAGACGGGAGACGATGAATGCCGGGGTCTTGGTTAGATAAGTCTTGGAAAAACAAGAAAGAAAAAGATCGGAATGGTCATTCGATTTTTGGGCGGAATCCAAGACATATATAGAATCATCTTCTGCAGTGTTGGGACTAGTTATCCACGGTCCTCCTGTGTCATCTCTGGTACACTCGAATGCCCCCTCGTGCGCTGGAAAAAGGGGATCTGTGGTCATGATGAAGTAAGTATGCAAAGATGAGCCAAGTCGATTCAAGAAGACGGTTGGTGTTCCCCAGCCGTCTGTGCAATTTAGGGTAGTGGTGTGGTGTTGATCTAAAGATCCCGAGGAAGCCGCCCATCTGCGGGCACGCGGGATGGCAGAAGGCTAATTTCTGATGGTGGTGGTGGTATTATTGGTGGATGCGAAGGCTAAAAGGAAATTTGAGTTCTCTTCATATTCTTTATTTCTCTTCTGAGTTGGTGGACGGAAAACAAACTCGAAATCAGAGAGTCTGCTTGAAATGGAGCCAGAGTCCGCAGTGCAGTATGTTTACGAAACAATCCTCAGGACTTAGGCCAAGACGATGAAGCATCACGTTAAACCTGAAGCCGCTCAGACTGTCTGTAGAGTACCAGTATTCGCTTACCCGGTGGGTTATGAATTCCAAGAAGCCAACCTCCTGTTCTTGGTCACCAACCACCAATTCCTGGCAATTTCGCGTGTGCTCACTTATCCACTAGCTCTCAATGGGATTGTTCAATTCCATTGCTAGCAACAATAATAATGGAGCGAGAGGGGCTAGAGAGCTTGGTGGATGATGACGAGTGTTCGTTTTGCGGGAGCGTAGTGGTGGCTGACGATCGTCGCTGTCATGTCACTTCAGCTTGGAGACGTTGAGTGACTGTGATATTTTCTTTGCACCGAGATCTGTGATGGTGAAGCACCATCTATTCAATCACATACCAAGGTGCCTACGAGTATGTAGAGTAATTGTTGTCATGATTGTACTCGGTAAATATTGTACATATGGTACTCCCACGTCGGACGATTATTGTATTCTTTGGCGAGGATAAGCGGCAGTCACCCCTGGCCTGGCCTTGGTATTTGCAGGTGGTTCTTGACTCTTGAGCAGTTCAAACTCTACGGTGAACCATAACCCATAACCGACTGAACTACCCTCGCTACCCTGGCCTGGCATCTGCAACAATTATGCATGCGCCTCCCCAAAGCGTCTGGTCTGTCCCCAAAAAACCTGGTCCACTTCTTTCTCTCTTTATCTCCATTGATCTGCCCATCCAGCCCACCCGACGTTCGTTTTATGACCTACGATTCGACTTGTACAACTCAACTCCACTCCACCTTCGTTCAACCCTTACCATCCGCTGCCCTCCCTTCCTCCCTTCCTCGCTCCTCCCCTTCATTCACCCTCCCTCCACATCCCAGCTGAGCCTCAGCCTACGTATTTGGTGCTACTTCTACTAGTCAAAGCAGCATGTCCATAGGATTGTCCAAGATATCTTGACGCTTCCGCGCGGCACGCTTTCCTACAATAATACGAGCAGAGCCTGGGTCCCCGAGAAACCCGCAAATCCACTCCAGCGCTATCGAGCCGTCGAAACATCGCGTCCAATTAATTGCCTCGACCTCGATCAACCCTCTGCTCCTGCGACAGATCCACGCAATCCATTAGACATCAGAGGCTTGATAGTTGGGCATCCCAACGAAAATCTAGCCGTTTGATCGCCTTGGAAGGCTGGCCGAGACACGAACAAGCGGACCCTGTCCAGATCATCGCTTTTATCTGTTCACTATACCAGATCTTCTGTACTCAAATCCTAGCTCTATAAACAAATCTGCATCTCCTCTGCGGATTCACAAACGAGTCCTCACCCTCCGCGGGTACTGCCCATTCTACCCACCCCTCCCGCTCCGATCTCTACCTATCTCCATCATAATACTTGACCATTTCGACCATGGCACGATTTCCTTCTTTTCCAACGTGGGCAACGGCGTTCGTTTCCACCCTTGCGGTCCTCAATACAATAATACCATCAGTTCAAGCAAACGAGCCAGAGACAATCACCTTCACTGGTACTAATGGCCAACCGGTAGCTCTCCTTGTGGACAGGACGCCAGCACTATACACAGGAGATTTTGGTGATTGTATGGGTGGACAAAGCTTGCTAAACCTCACATCGTTTGACGCAGCTTACTATGCCGATAATATGACAGTTTTGTTTAACCTGGCTGGAACCAGTAATTTGAGAAATGAGTCCTTAATGTGTAAGCATTGCCATTGAATGGGTGATTCGTTCAGTTCAAAGCTAATTCTGTCACAGTACATATCGCTGTTGATGCTTGTGAGTAGATGGGTATTTCTGGGGGAAAAAAAGCCAACGCTAACCTCTAAATAGACGGAGAAGATCGGTTTGACTTGATATTCAACCCTTGCAATGCAAACTTCAACAGGTAAGCTTCTGCCAAGTCTCGTTCAAAGAGTTCCGCTGATTTTACCATTCTAGTCTTTGTCCGCTAAATGTAGGCGTTCCAATTATTGGACAAGCAACCATTCCCGTAGCACCAGCCGACGTCTCCAATATTCCAGCTATCGCTCTCGTAATACCTGATTTCGAAGGCTCCGCGACTCTTAGGATCTTCTCCAACCGAACGCAAACACAAATTGGGTGTTTCGAAGCCGTAATGAGAAATAGTGCCAGCTTTTCCCATCCAGAAGCTGTAGGATCGACTCTAGGAGTTTTTGCGTTTGTAGCAGTACTAGCTTCTTTTGCGACGGCAATCTACGGAGTTAGCATACCCCATATTCGAACTCATTACGCTCATTCGCTCTCCGTCTTGGTTGTATTTGAGGTTTTCCACTCAATCTTTTTCTCTGGGGCTCTTTCACTCAATTGGCCCAGCGTCTGCACGGCGTTCTGGAGCAACTTTGCTTGGTCCGCAGGCATGATTTACACGCACCCAATGATAAATTCGATCAACAAATTCACGGGTGTCTATGGGAATGCAAGTCAGGCTGGCGGAGCTGGATCTACAACATTGAATACAAATGGAGGTCTTCAGCAACAGATTTATGGTCGGTCCTTGGGCGCAAGTAGGCAATTGTTTGAAAGTGGAGAGCAAATTGCAAGCCAGATCTATAAGAGAGCTGTTGACAGAACCCCGGGCTCAAGGCTATATTCCTGGGCTGGGGTTCCTGTTCAACCTGGGCTTCCTCTTCCCGGCAACTGGAGCGGATTCGCCGGCACCCTTTCCACGGTTGACGTCCCCGCAGCGGATGCATTCATGACTGGATTCTTGTGGTTGTTAATTCTCATCGTCATCCTGGTTGGTGTCACTGTTGCTTTCAAATGGGGATTGGAGGGACTTAGCTCCGTGAAAGTCATCAAACAAGATCGACTTAGCTTCTTCAGGAGCCATTGGCTTGGATTCACGGGACTTGTGGTTCTCCGGACAATGTTTATCGCATTTTTCATGATCATGACCCTGTCGCTATTCCAATTCTCATACGGGGGAAAGGCTGGCCCTATAGCCGTCGCCGCCATCATCTTCCTCATATTTTTTGTGGGCATGCTGGGCGCTGCCAGTTACGCATGCTTCTACAGAATTAAATTTGGCCACTACGAGACCGCCCCAGATCGTCTACACTTCCAACGCACAAAGAAGATGAAGTTTATTCCGTGGATCAAGACAGCCCGAGAAAGCGAGATTGAAGGTGATTCCGAAAAGGCTCTTTCCGTCGCATCAGTCAATTTCTTCCGACTAGATTACGTGAGCAACGATACAGAGAAACCGAGTGTCCATGATAACGATGAATATACCAAACGCTTCGGATGGCTATCTGCTCGATACCGCCGCACCAAATGGTGGTTCTTTACCAGCTGGATTGTTTATCAATTTGTTCGAGCCTGCTTTGTCGGAGGCGCTCGCGCAAATCCCACTGCTCAAGTGATTGGATTGTTCATCTGGGAAGTAATTGCTTTTTTCATCATTCTCAGCATCAAGCCATTTGAAGGAGCAAGGAACACAGCGCTTGCAGTTTATATGCTTGGATTCAGCAAGGTTGCTACTGCTGGACTATCAATCGCCTTTCTACCCCGGTTCAACGTTGCTCGCATTCCTACCACCATCATTGGCATTATCATCATTGTCATTCAAGGTCTCTTGGTCGTCGGTCTTCTCATCCTGATCGTTCTTGGCGCGATCTCCAGTTACATGTCGCTTACTCGGAACCGCGAGGAGTTCAGACCAAAAAACCTAGAAAACATCCGAATGAAATACTTTGCTCACTTGGAACAAAAGGCTACTGATGTCCCACCGCCTCCAACTCCAGAACCAGAAGGGCCAGTGGAGCCATACTTTGCTGTCAAGACTGTCCGCCGGGCACCAAAGATCGAGGACGAAGACGTTGATTTTGTTCCGGATCTAGACCCACAACTTCAGCCATCCGCATCACAATTCTCTCTCAATAATCGCACCAGAGAGAGTAGGTCCAACAGCATGGCGAACAGTATGCGAAGCCATCACTCGGGCTATGGCAATGTTCCATACGGAGCGCGGGTCCATAGAGCTAGTTGGAGTTCCCGTGAGTTCCAAGCTTACCACCAGGATGAGGCGAGTCGCACGGATTCTTTGTACGGTACGCCAGCACGAAACACTCAGAGTGGACACGTAGCCAACAATTCAGTCGCCACATCTACGATTCCGCTTGTCAAGCCTAGCATGTCGCATGGTAGTCTACGTAGGTCGTCTCCGTCGATTGCAGAAGAATCTGGAGTTGTCGAGAGGCCACACCGACGGTCATCTCCATCGATAGCAGAAGAATCCGAAGTTGTCGAGAAGCCAAATCGATACTCGTCCCCATCGATAGCAGAAGAACCCGAAGCTGTGTAGAGGCCAAACGCGCCTGAAGCCAAATAAATCTACAACGGCGCGAAATTTACGAAGTTACGACAGGAGTAGTAGGAGATAATTTGACCAAGAAGGGTCCAGAATATGGGGAGCCGTGGAGAAGCATTCAGTACAGCTTAAGCCGGCGTTCCATTTGTTTTTTCTCCTCACATGCGTTTTTAGCTGTGGGATGGTGTTGGCATTATTGCATGGATAGAGTATGGTTGTTGCATCTTAGAGGCACCTTCTCTCCCCCTTTGAGCGCGGTGCATTTGGGTGAATGGCAAGCAAAGCCATGGCGTTACTGGTGACAGGCAGCTCTTACATGAGTGAAGGCTGTAGCTGTAGAAAAGTTCGAGATCGTATTAATCAGGTCTCATCACAATCAAGGATTCCTTGATCTCGAAAATTCCTTCTTTTTCTTTTCAACTCAAGCCACCCAAGTTTGTATGTTAGGAGTCTCTGTAGATAGACTAATACCAGAAGATCCCACCTAAAAATGTCGAGGTCAGTTTAAAGGAAGATATTGATGGCGCAGGTGGAAAGGACCTCAACTGAAAAGGGGGAGCCTTCAGAAAGTCACGTGTTACAGGTATGCTCCTTCCCGTCGTTGAGCTTTCGCCAACTCGATGGCCTCACTTCGAGGCATCATACCTGCACCTCCACTGCATAAGCGACCCTTCGTGTGATATCCGCCGGGTCCATCGAAATCTCAAAACCTTGGGCAAGACCAACACCGCTGCAAGTTCTTGAATGGTTCGGGATTAGGTTTCTTTGTTCCATTATCAGCTCAGGTACTTTGTACTTTCAAGCACGTCTGTTTGTTCAGTTACTCGTCTTTCAACACGCACGCGTTCAGGCGCGAAAGCCTTCAAGATGTTTTACAGCCACGAGAGTAAATCGCAATCCCTTCATACATGGATGTGACAATAACTGATTACTTTACGTTGTAGTCTTGACGAACCGCAAGTATGGCGTTGCAACCATCTGGTCAGTTACAATCACTTCCTCAAAACGCGCCACTTCTTACTCGCGCCTCCCATTCAACGCGTCTTGCGATGAGATGATGCCGCTCTCTATATATTCTATACTAATTCTGCTTAGGCTTGCCGCGACTATGGGCTCTAAGTCTGGAAAGAAATTGAACCGTAAAGCAATCTGTAACGTCGACCTTCGAAAAGCATGCGGTACAATTATTGAGCCTGAAGCGCCAATGGCATTGAGACTATCAGGTAACCTCCTGTAAGTGCCAAACCATTCTCGGGTCTTTTTCCATACTGACACAGGCAGATTCGGTGCTGTTCGAGTCTACTCTCAACAATGTGGTTATGTCCTTCAGGACGCCCAAACTGCCCACACCAATATTCGCGCTTTATTCAAGGTTTCTCGAACAAAGGACCTCGACGCAGAGGATGCAAACGCTCGGTAATATCTTTTCTTATCGCTAAACAAATTCTTTTAGCTGATTCTCCACAGGCCTGATCAACTTGTGCGCATGGATGACCCCCTCTTTCAGTTGGACCAGGCTCTTCCACCATTGGATTTTGATTTCATGGCTCTGCCAATCAGTAATGATTCTCAACGCTCTACCCAATCTATGATGTCCATTCGTCGCCGGAGTGGCTCTGTTGACTCTTCTGCGTCCTCCATGCCTGGTCTCAATCTACCTTCATTAAGCAGCAATGGGGTATATCAGCTTCCATCTGGTGACATTCTTGGCGTATCATCTGCACAAAAACCATTCTTCGAAGTGGCAGGAGACGATGAACCGCAAATCTACCAAGATGAAAATCAAATGGAAGATTTTGGATTCAACTTTGGCGCAGATGGAAATTTGATTGAGGCGGATGATCCTTTTGTCGATATCAGCCGCCCAATCAACGCTCGTCCTCAGGTAGAACATGGAAGCGACACAGGTGCTGTGGAACGAGTTCGACAAGATCACGCAGGGGGTGGAATAGATGATGATATTTTCAACCTTCCCGATTACGGCAATGACGATCCAATCGCTGGGGTAGATGATGGAGCGTTACCGGAAAATGCTGAACCATTCCCAGAGCGAAACAATTTCTTCATGAGTGGCGGCCTTCAACAAAATGACCAGCACCTACACGGCGACCTTCAAGATCGTATCTATGGCTCTGGTAAACATCCTTCGTCTACTATTGAAGAAGAAACATCGTCCATTTCAGCTCAGGCCCCCCAGAAGAAGAGTCGTAAGGCTAAGAAACAGAAGCAACAAGCTGCCGACAAAATATTAGTTGTGCGTTCTAAACAGCTTCACTTCTGGAGGGACGGATATCTCGGTATGATGGCCGCTGGAAACATCCAGAAGAGCCACCATCGAGCTGCCATACAGGCGAGGAAGAATGCCATGCATTTCGTATATGGAACTGGTCCGTCAATCTTTCCTTTAGTCTCTGCTCCCAAACACACCCCTCCTTTTAGCGTTCATAAAAAATTTTCCTTGAATCTTTTGGAAGCCACAAACTGACGCCGTAAAAAGGAATTATGGGTGTTGGTGAAGGTATAGGTATTTCCAAAATCCCTAGTCCATTGAGTATGTTTTCTGGTGCTGCTCTAATGGCGAAAATCACTGGCAATCCACTTCCAAGTCCAGCAAAAGGCTCGAAGCGTCGTCGTGATGGAGACGAGGAACAATCATCCTCCCCAAAGCGCGCTCGCCATGAAGATGAAGTTGGCCGTGACTACGAAGACCAAGTCCAAATGATGATTGATAACGATATGCCAGAAGATTATCTCAACCACAGTGACATCGAAATTGGACGACACGCATCATCTGCCCTAGATAACTATCCATCCTCAGCCATGATGCCTTGGAATGTTTCCGCATCCCGCCATTCTCACCAACGCGCGCTATCTTCAAAAGGGCCAGGATCAGTGCTCGCTGGATCAGTAGGACACAGACTCACCTCCGCTTCCCCGCTTATTGGTCGTGGTTCTGCGGTACCTGGAGACCTTGAAGAATTCGATATTCAACATGAGGAGGATCTGATCATGTACGGCCGCGACGACGATTCTGAGATACCAGACGGTCTGCGTGGATTCGGTGGATTCCCCAGCTCCTCTCGTGCCGGACCTCTCTTTGAAGATGCAGAATTTGAACAATTCGGTCCAGCAGCTGAGGTGGACACACAAACAGCGGGACAATCGCAATGGGTTCGTCAAGCTCTTGATAAGGAATCCAATAATTTCTTTGAGTACGTTCAAAATACCATTCTTGAGCAGCAGGATGATGAATTGAGCTTTCATGAAAATCAACAGCCGAAGAAACGAAACAGTTCAGTCACTTTTCAGAAACTGTTTGAGCATGAGAAGACGACGACAATTGTCGCAGCTCAGGCTTTTTATCATATTCTCACTTTGGCGACTAGAAATCGATTGGCGATCATGCAGCATGAGGCTGAGTTTGAGGAGGATCTTTGTGGTGACATTGTGATTCGTGTTAAGGAGGAGGTGTTTTGATGGATGAGATGAGTGTGTTTGTATCTTCCTTTCTGAGGCCCAAAAAGGGGGGGACATATTTTACAATTCTTTTCTTTTATGACGAGAAGGCCGATACGATATACCCAGTTTTTGCTACAACGGGATGGAATGAATGGATGAAAATCGGTACGGAACATATCTTTTGCTACATTTAAATTTGGGAGGAAACGGAAGAGAAAGGAGATACCCCGAACAACATCGTTTACATTGCTTATTTAACCAGATAGAGGTTTTCTTGCTAGAATCATAAAAATGGATGGATGATTAAAAGGCTAAAGCTGGTAGTGATCGATAAGTGGATGACTTGACTTGACTTGAGGCATATGTAGGCAATCATGGTGTTGAGTGGGTGGAGTCTCGGGCTAGTGACTCTCTTCGTTCGCTAGGTAGGTAGCTATCGGTGTCTTATGACCTTTCCCTGTAGGTATTATCGGGACTTCAAAGTCGAGGCTAGATTGGGAATCGTCGTGTGAGGAGATGTATTGCTATCTTGAGTTCCGAGTGAGATGATGCGGGTCTGTACAAGGTTTTTGAGTAAGTTACATAGCAAAGCCGGGCGATAGTGGCGATTTTCTTGGAGAGCCTACAAGTTGTTTGTACTTGTATGTACAGGTGAGATGGATTTGTCAACATCACTGCATAATATACTATGATTAAGGGGAACACCGGCTCTAAGTCTTTTGAAGATGGGTTGCTATTAATCCCCGATCAAATATACAAGTTTGATGTTAGGATACCTATACTGAATTTAGGTGTTTAAATAACACTCCACTCTATGATACAAAGCTTAAGGGTTTAATGAACTGCTTTCATACTCACTACGATCAACCATCCAAGACAGCAGAAACTTTTCAGCGACAAGCAGGCGTCTTTGGTATAAGCGAATCCTTGTTTATCGCCGAAGATGTTTTCTCTGACGCGCACATTCACTGGATGGTCTTAGTCGTGGCCTCGCTTAAATGAGGGGAGGGGATAAGTCCGAGACCTAGAGCGTCATGTCGTATTTTACGAATACGAGAGAACATCGCAATTGGGCGCGTCTTACCGACCCTGTGTCACCTGTCTCGGATGAGTTGTAAAACTTCTTACGTAGTGGAGGGGAGGCCCGGAAGCCTTAGATGTGACTTAAAGTAAGAGATCTGGTTATTATTCTATGTACACCTAAGCTGGAATGATACTATCTCGAGATGGCTATTTGAGTGGTTTAGGATGATCTAAGTTAATGTTTGTTTATTCATCTAAATGATAATAACGTACTTCATAAGGAGTCCGGATTTTTTACCCCACCATCCAACTTTTAAAAACCATAGAACTTTAACCACTTAATATTTATTTATATAAACTATACTATCTTTCTTATTCTCGATCTGGGCACCTAGGAGCAGTATGCGCTAGTGATCTACATATACTACAGGTTCGTGGTGCACGAATTCGTGGTTCAATTAGCGGGGCCACAGCTTCATCCAAAACCATATTATCACTATTTTGAATAAGTTCCCTCCCTTCCTGACCTGTAAGAACACCCCCAGTAGCAATATATTGACGTCGCACAGTCTTCTTCTTCTTTTGACGTTCAGATTCAGCTCGTAAACGTCGATTTTCCTCTGCCAAAACCGTAGCTGATTGCATAGCCATCTTACACCCTTTAACCAATTGATCTAATGCAATAG